CTTCATTAATTAAAAGACGAAATAATACAGAACATAAATACATATTTAACAGATTTAAAAAAAAAAAAAAAAACCAAACAAAAACAAAACAAAACAAACCCAAACCAAATACACTTTAAGCTTCCAAAAAACAAAACAAAATGTTAATTACAGCCAAACCTTGCTTAGAAGAACTCTTGACTAAAAAAACAAACACTTCAGACATTTAATTGGTTGGTCCCACCAGACTCGTTTGTTCCCACGAGATTGTTACACGGAGTAGCCGGGTTTTCGGGTTTCATCCGCGTTGGTCCGAGTGAGTTCTTGCCCTCAAGGTTGGTCCGTTCCTCACATTGCAATAGACCCTTAAAGTCTCAAACAGCTTTTTTGTTTGTTTGTTTGTTTCTCTCCCCCCTCTTCCCACCCGCCCTGCTCCACTTTTGCACTTGTCAACTTCCACGACGAGCAAGTTCAGTTCAGTCCTCACAGAGGAGTCGAATGGTTTTGTCCTTCATTTATTCAAAAGGAATCGCCGGTCCTTTTTTATTTTTATTTTTTTTTAATTTTTTAATTCTTTTTTAGCTTTTTTTTTTTTTTTTTTTTTTTTTTTTAAATTGCATTAATTAAAGAAAAATAGAGCTCTGTCCTTTTGGAGAGTTTTGAAGCAAGGGGACACCCGGTCGCAACGAGCAGAGTTCCCAGTGGCTCAGGAGGCACTTCGGAAACTATCGCGGCACTCCACGCTCTTCATCTTCATCCCTTCATTAGTGCATACGTCGGGGAAGCCCTCGGGGGCTCCGCGCATCCTTTAAGGCCTCGTCAGGGTCGTATAGACCGGCTGGTCCCAGTTAGCGGTGGGGCTGTGGGCCGGCGGGATGGACAAGCCGTTGAGGATGGGCGTCGCGTAGGGACGGCGGGAGGAGTGGAAATAGGGGTACTGGTAGATGCTGGAGGCGTAGCCGGGGTAGGGGTTGTAGTAGTTGGAGCTCTGGAGGTCCGTGTAGTCGCACTGGGAGCTGGAGAAGGAGGCGGCGGCCGTGGCGGTGGAGGCGGTGGTGGCACAGGCCTGGGCGCTGTAGGAGCCGTAGTCGGAGTGCGCGGGGGAGCCGTGGGACTGGTCGCTGTAGTGGCTGGGGCTCAGCTGCTCCGTTTTGATGTGCGGCCTTTGCTGGGCCGAGTCGGCCGACGAGGGCGACGCCGAGGCCGGGCTTTTGTGAGTCCAGACTTGGTTGGTCCCGCCGGTGCCCGTGGCCGAGTGGGAGTAGGACGCGGCGTAAGAGCCGGCGGCGGCGTTGGGGCCGTGCTCGGCCGGCATGGCGGCGTGGCCGTTGAGGGGCAGGTACTGGTCGAATTCGTGCACGTCGAAGGTCTCCATGTTGTTGATGACCTCGCTGCTCAGCTCCGAGATGTCCACGTTGCTGAAGTCGATGTTCTGGCGGCCGCTCTCCACGAGGCGGCGGCCCTCGTGCTTCAGCTCCTGCTTGCCGCCGTGGTGGAGGTCGGTTTTGGGGGTGGTGGGCGGGGTGGGTGGCCCGTGGGTCTGGCCTGGGGACGAAGGGACAGCAAGGCTTTAATAAGAGCAGCCACAAAGCACCCAACTCCTTTAAGGACGGTTTGAAAAAAAAAAAAAAAAAAAACAAAAAAAAAAAAACGCACCTTTCCCCGCTCTCTCACCGCAAGAGGAGGGGATTTAAATCTACGGCCCCACATCGGAGGTGGCGGATGTCCCCCTGCGATGGTTTGCAGTGGGGAGGAGAAGCTGGGGAGCGCGTTCTACCCATCAGCATCGTTCTGGGACGTGGCGGGACCCCCCCCCAGCTGCACAAACTCCCCCTCGCCCGGGAAACTGAAGCGAGGTGGGGGGGGTGGGTGTGGGATTTGGGGGGACCCGCTCAGCCTCCTCCCCACGGGCAGCCTGAAGCCAGCCCGGCTCTCCCCGAGGCAGAGGAAGCGCGTCCCGGGGCCGGGATCCCCAGCCAGGCTGGGCGAGAGCGCAGACGCGTCTGAAGCTGCAGGACGTTCGCAATCCTCCTGGAATCTGTCAACACGCGCCCCGTGCCAATTCGCAGCGCCGACGAGGAGCGGGGAGCTTCGGGGGGAAGCCGCGGCTCCAGGACCCGCTCCCCCAGGGCCGACGGATTATTAACCCTTATTAGCTCGCAATTAATTCTCCCCCCCCCCCCCCCCCCCCCTCCCAGCTCCCAGGCCAGCTGGGAAAGCGGGATCCCCGCTCTTCGGGGATTTCCGATGGCGCAGTCAGCTCTATAAGCATTTACTAAAGAAAACCGTGATTACATTCACAACCTGGTGCAAAACCACAGCTCTTGGGGCAACGGCTCCTGCTTTTGGATGGTCCCAATCTCACCGATATTCATTCGGGGAGCAGATGAGCCCGTGCCCGCCAGCGGGTTCATGTCCCAAACCAACGTGCCTGGGACCTGGAGAATTTTTTTTGCCCGTGGGGGTCCTTTACCTGTGTGATCGCCGTGATGGTGGGAATCGGCCATGCCTCCCAGCCCGCTGTCCGCTTTGTAGATCTGCGTGCCGGCGTGGTGGCTGAGCTCGGCTCCGGAGTCGGAGTCGCTCTGCCCGGCTTTTACGCTTTTCCTCCTCCGTGGCTGGTATTTATAATCCGGGTGATCCTTTTTGTGCTGGACCCTGAGCCGCTCAGCTTCTTCCACAAAGGGACGTTTCTCATTTTCGCTTAACAAACTAGTTTGGGATGGATTTTTTTTTTTTTTTAAAAAAAAGTAAGGAGGAAGGGGGAAGGAAAAAACAAAACAAAACAAAACAACAAAATTAATGTCCTTTCCTTAGAAGTTTTCAGCCTATTTTCAGACTCACACATCCCCACTTCCCATACAGTGATTTGAGCAACTGGAAAATTATTTACAAAACGAATTTGCTGTGACAAAAAATAGCTAAATGCTACTGCAAAACTGTATTAAAATACCAACTACAGAGGTGCAAAAGACACCAACCACTACAGATACCGACAGCTGGCCAGAACAAAATTCCCCTGCCCCATTTTAAATGCCTTTGCCAAATATTATTCCTATGTTTGTCCTACAAATGTCACCCCCTCACCACGACAAACAACGCTGCCCATTTCCAGCTTTGTTTGGTGCTTACAAAGAAACCACGAAGGCAACAGAGATGGGATTATTTCTTTCCAAACTCTCCCCCGCCCAGACCTCTCTTTGCAAACTCTTGGAGAGTCTCAAACCGCAGCGGGAGCATCGCTGGCCCAAACAAGCAGGAAAGATGCGAGTTTGGTACAGCCAGACACGACCGAATATACCACGCGGTAAAACGTGGCTCGTCGCAGAGGCTTAGAAAGCAGAGCGCGCTCAGATGCCGCCCAGGAAAAAAAGTTTGCATCAGTGGGCAGCGCTGAGCATGCAAGCACGCAGATAAGAAGGGAAATTAGAAAGCTGATTAAAATAGCTGCTAAAAATTGGCTTCTTTGGGTTTATAGATGGTTAAGCGACAAGCAAGCTAGCTAAGGAAAAAACTTTTCAAAAAAGCCATTGTAAAAGAAGTAATTAAAAAAAAAAAAAAAATCTTAGCCTCGCGGGACAGGGACATGGGAAACCCTGACCAGGAGAGGAAAGGGCCCAGGCTGCACATCTCAGGCATGCAGCTGGGAAAATCCACCCGTGACAGCGCTGGGGCAGGACCCACCGGCAGCACCGTGGCCGTGGGCACCCAGAGCCCTGCACGGGGGCTTTTTGGGAGCAGGGAGCAGCATGTCCTCTGCGGCGTGCCGAGACGCTCCGGGGGATTTTTGCACTTCAGCTTGAAACGTTTCAAGAAACCCCCACGGGCACAGAAGGCCAAAGAGAAAGATAAATAAAAAGATTTTTTTTAAAAGCGGTGGGAGGGGGAACCCAGCCGCGCAGCCTGAGGTGAAGCCCCCGGGGGTCCCACGGGTCCGGCCCCGCTTTGGGAGGGGGTGTGTGTGAGTGTGTGTGTGTCCGTGCGCGGCTCCCGCGCCCACAGCCCCGCGTGGAGGGGTGCCCCGCGGAGCGGTGCGGTGCCCCACGGGGGGGTGAGAGGTTTGAGGGGTGAAGGGGGGGGGAGGATGCGCGACCCGGGGACTCACCGCCAGAGTTTGCCCAGGGTCTTGCTGAGCTCGGCGTTGTGCAGATGCGGGTACTGGTCGGCCAGTTTCCTGCGGGCGGCCTGCGCCCACACCATGAAGGCGTTCATGGGCCGCTTGACGTGCGGTTTGGCTTTGAGGGATCCGTTGCCGCGGACGGGCATGGGCACCAGGCTCCAGTCGTAGCCCTTCAGCACCTGCGAGACGGCGTCGCGGATGCAGGCGGGGAAGCGCTCGTCCACCTCGGCCGCGTCCACTTTTGCGCCCAGCGGAGCGGCCCCGGGAGGGCGCGGAGCGGGCGCGGGGGCGCAACCCAACCCCTCGGAACCGGCGGGGGACAGCGGCGAGTCAGAGTCCGAGTCCACGTGGGACATGGAGCTGGTGGTGCCCGTGGGGCTGCACGGAGCCTCCAGCGCTTTGTCGTGCTCCTCGGTCATGTTGAGCATTGGGGGCCGTGGGAGGGGTGGGGGGGGTGGGGGGGGGGGGGGGAAAGGGAAGGGGGAGAAGGGCAGAGCCGCCCCGAGAGCGAGGATGTGTCCGGGAGGAGCGGCGAGCACCGTGCACCCCTCCGCGGGCGCCCGAAGAGCGAGAAAAAGATTTTTAAATTTTTAAAAATTTAAAAAAAAAAAAAAAATCTGGAAGAAGAAAAATAAAAGGCACAAACGCACAAAAATCAGCCGGGGAAAAAAAATATATAATAATAATAAAAATAATAAAAAAAAAATAACCAAAACCAGTCCTGGTGCCGTGCCGGCGCCCCGCTCCGCGCCGCTCCGCGCTCCACGTCCAGTGCGGGACGCGGCCCCTGGCAACAAGTGACTTTAAGGGGAGGGCAAGCGGCCCCGCCTCCAGAGCCGCCTCCCATTGGTGGAGAGCGAGGTCTCATTTCCATAAAGGGGCGGGGCCGCGCTGCCCAGCCGCCGCACTCCCGCCGCTCCGCTGACCGGACCCGCCGCCGCCGAGAGGTGCCGGGGGGCGGCTGGACGCCGATGGGGAGGGGGGGTCGGGGTCCTCTTTTGGCATCTATAGGCTCCCCCCTACTTTATTTGAGGGTTTATCGCGCTGCGGTACTGCCGGGGAACCCTACCCCGGTGGCGGGGATGCGTTTTAAACCCCCGGTGTTCGGAAAGGAAGCCCTCCGCCACCGTTAGGATGGGGGGGGGGGGCGGGAGGGGGGGGTACCGGGGCTGTGGGGTTCCGTGGGGGGATGCTGAGCCTTTTCCCCAGCCCAGCAGGATGGGGCTGCCGCGGTGAAGAGGTGCGGAGCGGCGCCGGGCCGGCAGCAGCTGCCTCCCGGGGCTCCGGTACGACGGGAGGCACCGGGTGCGGACAGTTGGTTGTTTTTTAAGTCTCTTTTCCGAACGGAAAAGGCCGGTACGTGGCAGAAGTACCGGTGCCTCCCGGTTGTAAGCGGGGCCGGAGCTGCCCTTGTGGCCCCGCAGCCGGTGCAGCCCCCCGGGCAGCCGAGCCCCGCTGCCCCCAGGCGCTCCCACGGGCAAAGAACGGAGAAAAACGGGTGAATTGTTGGAAACGACCGAAAAGAGCCCCTCCGCCTCTCTTCGCCCCGTCTCGCCTCTCTCCCCACAACCTCCCCGTCTCCGGGCTCGGTCCCGGGTACCGGAGCATCCCCCCGGGAGGGAAGAGGCTTTGTCCCGGCCGGAGGAGGATGCGACACCTCGGGGTGAGCCCTTGGGTCTCGGGGGGTTCCACTTTTTAAAAAATAATCCGTTCTTTTAAAAAAAAAAAATCTGTCCCCCCCCCATCCGGCAGGCTGCCCCTCTCGAAGCGAGCCCTGGTTTTGCAGCATTTATTTGGAGCATTTGATTCTAATTATCTGCGGAATCCAGCCTTCTAATTGCGACTGGCAAAAAGCAACTCCCCAAATTCCAGTTTTATCCGCTGCTTCCCCCCAGCCCTGCTACCCCCTGGAAAAAGAGGGTCAAGTACAAGATTTACAAGAAAAAAAAAATAGAAATTCTGCAAGTGCTTCAAGCTTTCCAGCATTTAAAAAATAACAGGAACGTGGTGTTTTTGAGAGCATTTTGTTTAATTACTGCGATGCATAATCACCTTGAAATAAAGCGTATACTTTGAAGTTAAATGTAAGACTATTTAAATGTGCCTGAATGTCCATATGCCGTCTATGTGAAAATTAATATGTTCTGTTAAAGTGCAAAGTGGGATTTTATTTTATTTTAAAATTCTCTCATTTCCTTATTAATAATTTCTCAAGATTTCAGCTTTCAGTTTGTAAAGTCACAAAGTGAGTTACCTTTGGATAAAGGTGGGGGGTTTTTTAACAGAATTTTACAAAGTGCCATTTTAAAAAATATTGACTTTAAGGCTTAAGGCGTATTATATATGTTGAACTTGCAAGTGAGGATTAATTGAATTTCTCTTCCAGGGCCCAATCCAAAGCTTAATGAGATTGTGGAAGGGTTTTTGTTTCCCCGGGCTTCGGACCGGTGGCCTTGTGCTGCTGTTGGATACTTGGCAGAACATTGTTTTGGTTTTTTTTTTTTTTTTTTTTCCTCCTGTGACATGTAATTAACATAAGTTTTATAATGCCTGTCTCTGGGTTCTCGCAGCTCTTTAATACATTTACTTTACTGAAATTCTGTGAGTCGGGTAAATTGTATTTCATCCATTCTAGAGGTGGCTGAGTCAAAGCAATAATCGCTATTTTTAGTCCACCTCTTCGAAGACAGCCTCTCCTGCAGAGTACCTTCCTTGGAAGATTCAAACCTCATTGCGTGGCGGAGGTTGGGAAGGGATCTGTGGGACACGCGGAGCTTTGGGGCAAGCTCACGGAGGTAGAAATGAAAACAAGAGCCCCTATATTCTGATCCCTGCCTTCCAACTACAAGTTAAATTCCTACAAAAGAAGCCCCCAAGGACAGCAGGAATTGGAGACATTGGTTTTCTTCCCCCTTTCGTGCTGCTGCCTCTCACGGCTCCCCAGCCCTGCCGGAGGCAGGGAATTGCACTTCCCAGCCCACGCACTTGAATTCCTCTTTGTCCAATGCAGGTAGGAGGAGGAGGAGGAGGAGAACTTTTGATAGTTGCTTCCTCTTACTCCAGAGACGGGCCTGGGGAAGAGGTAGTGCCTGGAACCAGAGCAGGGTCCGTGTCCTACTTCAGTCCCCCAGCTGGGCAAGGCTGCTGGAAGCTGAGATGACACAGGGAGAGCTGGAGCACCTGGGCCACTCCAGTCGCTCCGGTTTCCTGAGAAGTTCACTCATCCATGAAATGGAATGAGATTACACTGGGACAGCAAGAGGGTTCAAGTGGCATCGTTTGTCTTAGGGGGCCTCATGGTCAAATTTTGTATGACAAAGTACCAGCGATGTTTGCACGGGGATGGGCAAATGATGGAGCTGCAGGGCAGGTCTTGCAGTGATCCCACACGATGCGTCATCTAGACCTGGCCTAATGCTGCTCTGTCTTGACCCAGCCTGCTGCAGGACAGGCCCTGACTTTGAGATTTCCAGGAAAAGGGTGCAAAACCGAGAGGGGAAGAACCAAGATTCCCATTGTCCAATGGAGCCTTAAGGAGTACACCCAGGCTGGGTGCGTTTAGGGAGGATTTGGTGGAAGAGAGCAGGCTGTTCCTGACAGAGCGGGCACAGCAGAGGTCCACCAGCTGCCTGGCAATATTGGTAATATTGCTTCCTTTTCCTTAAACTCTGATGCCATCCCCAATAAAGTTCCTGGGCAGCTCACATCAGTGTTTCTGGGGATCAGGCACTAAATACAAGGTCTGCATGCTTGTCTCATTGCCACTTGTCACCTGGGAACCCTCAGAAGCCCCATGGGATGGAGGTGGCTCGATGTCCCATCCCAGTTCCTCTCTGCCCAACTTATTTATTATGCAGCAATAAGTGCGTGTGTGCGCTGGCGTCAGAGCCCCGCTATTGTCAGGGAGGAGAAATTTCATCGCGAGCAGAAGACAGGGAAGGCATTTTCAGAGCATGAAGGCACGTGGGACCCGCTGCACACGATGGGCTGTGGTCCACGACGCGCACATGTACTGTGCTCCTTGCCTGGCTGGGTGAAGGCCCGGCCCAAAGGTGGGCTCTATCGCTTAATCTGGTCGAGCAGTAAAGTTATCATTTTTCAAAAATTGGCTACCTTTGAACTGCAAGCAGATTTTTACATGGGAATTTCAAAGAGCAAATAGAAAGAGCCTTACAGGGGAAGAGAAAACAACCCCTGATCAGATAAGAGTAACCTATGCATCGTGTTAAAATAAGCCTCTGACGGCTGCAGGATTAATGCTCTGCCCAGAGGATACAGCAGTTCAGTGGCAGCTCAGGGATTGTTCAGCCCTTTTCAGGAGAGCTCCTGATATCTGGAAAAAACCCAACCAAACAAAAAACAAACAAAGACTTGTGGTAACTTTCAACTAATTTCAATTAAAATAGCAGCAGAAGAGCTGAAAAGCTTTGCTCAAGATGAACTGTAGTGATGGGTCCAATCCTACTCTGCGTGCTTGTCAAGGTTCCAGCACACAACCGGCGCCTGCTCGTGTAATTTTAAGGCTAAATTTATATGGCTCAACTGCTTGCAAATCAGTTTAGGTGCAAAATTTGTCTTCTGTTCACATGAAATAAGCCTTGCTGCTCTGAACAATTCAGGAGTAAAAGGGACAGAACCTTTTTGCAAGCTTTAATTAACGCTTGGGGTATTTACTTCTCGGCATTTCCACAGCTCCCCACCACTGTGCTTAGCTGTGCTCTCAAAATTCTTGTTTTCACCTGCACAGCAGGAGTGAAAAATTACTGTGTGCTGTCGTGAAGGTCATTCTGCGCTCCCACCGCAGCAAGAACAAGTTTTTATTGCACAGCCTCATCCAAAGCCTGTCATTAGGGGTGTTTGCATGGACTGTGAAGAGCTGGGGGCTCGAGGCTCCCACCACCCCGAGTGGATGCAAACTTGCACCCCTTGCACCGCTGCTGCAGTCTGCTGAGAATTGGGGGGAAAGAGAGAGAGGCTTAAGTATTAGTTTAATCTCAGTTTTTACTGTGTTAATAGAGTGCTCAGCTCTGGCATCCCTCCTTTTTCTGGACAGGAATAGTTTGGCAGCAGCAGGGAGAACAATGGAGGGACACATCCCCCAGCAGCTCTTTTCCAATCCATGAACATTTACCTGGCGTTGATACAAGAAACTCTGCACACCTGCCCTGGGCAGGACTCCACTGACCTCTCTCCTGCTTGAAATGCAAGCAGAGTGCATGGGATTCCTAAGTCCTTTTCTAGGATGCATCATGGTAGCAGATTTCAGAGAGAAAGGACGTTTATTTTTAGAAAGCTTTGACTTCAGTGTGCATCAAAGGCAATGAGGGCTGCATGAAAATCTTTACGTGTTACATTGGGACTGGTGTAGAATTTCTGCTAAAATAAAATAGCCCTTACTAATAAGTGCTTTTATTCTTATTAATTCTTTAATAACCCAGTGGAAAAAGTTAACTGGTGGTTTGTTACAAGTTTTTATCTTGCAGCTTTCCCAGCCTGAAGTTGCACACCATGGTGCTGGCAGCCAAGGACCCGGAGGTGAAAGCAATTGCAAGCCCGAAAGGGACGGCCTTCTCTTTCGTTCTCAGAAAACACGCATGAGTAAAGACCAAAACCAGTAGAACGGAAAAGATATGTCAATGTGTTATTTCTGCTCAAACATTCTCCAATGTCAGCAACAAAACAAAATTTGCTTTTGAGGGATCAACACCATACCTGTACATGTTGCACATTAAAGGCCAGGTGAGGCACTGGCAAAAGATCTCTTCTTTCCTCCTGCACAGCACAGGCTGGACGGCGTCTTTTTGAAATAACAGAGAACTACAATTCCATTAATTATGATTACTGTGATTATTAATTGCTTGTCCTGTGGTACCGCTTAGGAATCTCTCTTCTGAATTAGCACCCCCCTCATTATAGATGCTGTACAAATACAGGAGAAAAAAAGGTAATTCTTCCTCTGAAAATCCTTTTCAGCCTTAATCCTGCTAACCCTGGAGTTAAAGATCAGATTTCCGCAGGGAAGGATCAGGGATTTTAATGGAAAATATATTACCACTGGAAAAATCTTAACTAGTAGAAGGAAGCTCCCAAATTCTTCGCGAGATCCCGATCTCTCATTTAGCAAATGCAGCTGAATGCTCAGAAGATTGTGTATAACTGCATTATACATAATTGAATGTATGTTTTCTTTAGAGGAGTCCCCAAATGTTAATGCTGCTTTACAAAATAGTTACTTCTGCGCACATTCACTTTCTCTGTTTTATTTAAACCCAATTCCTGGCAGCCAGAGGGACGAAAGACTAGACCTGAATGAACACAGAGTAATTTAGGGTGCCAGGGACAGCAGGGTTGAGGTGCTGGTGGGGACAGCTGCTGGGTGCTGTGACAGTAAATGCTTGTTTCTCTGTCACTTTTGCAGCTGTTTGGAACACAGCAAAATAGGGTCGGGCGGGGGGACGCGGTGGCGCGCATTTTGTTGAATGAAGATCAGCATCAATGATGCCTCAGCGCCTGCCTGCCGGCCCGACATTTATGAATTGCTCTCCCTTTGAGACTTTAAGGCTCAGAGCCTTGCACTGAAGTATCTTGTCTGCGTTACTTGCTCAGTTTTTACATAGTTTTCTTTTCTGATACCTTCCACTGAAAAGAGGGAACGCGAGGGAAAATCGCGACATGAAAATTAAAGGATAGTAAATGGAGAAGTGAGGAGAAAACTCAACAGAGATGATGGTCTGCGCAAAGCTTGGTATCGGCAGGAGCTGCAGAACAGAGAGGAGGTCATTTGATGTTCTCATCTACCGTTTTATCGCGCTTTTTCCTTTATAGCTTGATCCATCTTCCAGTAAAGCTAAAGGAAAGGCTTCCATCGCCTTTTATGAGAGTTGGATCGGTCCTTTGGAGTAACAACATTTTTCTGCTCTTTAATAGTTTTAAAACTTTGCAGCTCGTATTGTTGCAAGGTGCTACTGACACACGATGTCCCCCGAGCTCGGGTCGGCTGAGTTTGGTGTTCGTTTCTGCTACCGTCCCAACCCGCGCATCTGGCAGATCTCAGACCGATCTTCAGGAATGAAAACCAACCCGGTTCGGTATTCCCTTCCCAGCTCCAATTATTCCTTTTTTTTTTTTTTTTTTGCTAAATCTTTAGCCTAAACCCTCCGCTTTTCCTCAGTAATTTCCTCAATTATCCAGTTTGTTTTACAGACATTTCCATTTAATGTGGAATTTGCTGTAAAAGTTTCATAAAGACCCCACAAAGGAAACCATTAGCTTACAACTATTTAAATTTATCTAGCCAAACCTTGTGGCTAATCCAAAGGGAGAGGGAAACTGCAGTATACGAGAGGCCTTTAACAAATAGCTTATTTTTCTTTCCCTATACAATGCACCATTATGTAGGTTTTTTTCTAAGGAGAACAATGCAAGCAGCAGTGATGGGAAACTGGAAAAACAAAAGAGGCATTTAGAAGGGACCGCTTTACAGTCTGAAAAGCATTGAATACTGTTACACCTGATAACAGATACTTTCTCAGAGACCATCAAATGATTTAGCACGGTGGTGTTTACTTAAGTGGGATGCATGACGCACGTCTGAACTCATCGACGACCGCCGAGGCCGCTTTATTGAAGCGGTCTGGCTAAAAAACCAGTATTTATGAACTCAGCACCGAGTCAAGCGCTTGATGGCTCAATGGGTTGTATGAAGTAGAAGCCACGGCAGCATCAGGAGTGAAAAACGTTGAGAGCCTGAGGAATTTAACTTCAAATTATTCCTGAGGGAGCGAGCCGAGGGGAAAGGGCCGCGGGCAGGCCCTGTGCGCGTGGCCATGCGGAGGGCCCCTCTCCATGGGCGGGAGGTGGACGGAGGGTTTTGCGGCCAACTCCCCCGGTTTCTCTCCATTTATTTTATTAAAAAAAAAAAAAAAAAAAAAAAAAAAAAAAAACCAACCCAAAAACCAAACAACAAACTTTGCGCTTCCCCGCCGTTTTACAACGGTCACTCCCCCTCGGCTTGGGCCGCGCGCGCACACCCGCCGTGTCTTCCCACAGGAACCCCGCCGCGGGCCCACGCTGCCCGTGACGCGGGGGCCCCACGCCCACGCCGCCCTCACGGCCCGTCCCGGTGGTGGCGGTGGCGGCGGGGGCGGGAGGGGGGTGGGTGGGGGGGGGGCCCGGGGCGGGCCGGCCGGCCGCACGCATGCTCGCTGCAGGCTCCGACATGGCGGCGCCCAGCCCGGCGCTGAGGCAGAGGCGGGCGGCGGGCGGCGGCGTCCCCGAGGTCCCGCCGCGGGTTGTGGCGGGGCCGGCGGGCAGCGGGGCCGGGCCGCCGCCGGGCACCTTCTGGCTGACCCGCATCGTGCTGCTGCGAGCCGTAGCTCTGCTTTACTGTGAGTCTCCGGGCGCTGCCCCGCGCCTCTTTTCAATCCGCTGCCCCGGGGGGGGTGGAGGGGGGGAACACACGGAGGAGCCGCGCGTGGGCGGCCGGGCTCATTGCCACGCAGAACCCCGTGAAGTTGTGGGGTTGCCCTGTCCCAAATGGCCTTCCCCGCTGCAGAGCCTCAGGTGGGGCGGGCGGGACCCCTGTCCGGGGGAAGGGGGTGAGCCCCCCCCCCCCCCCCCCCGGGGAAGGGGTGAAGCCCCCTGGGTGCCCCGGCAGCGGGTTACTCGCCCACCCACGGGGTCCGCGGCAATGCGAGGTCCCACCGTGGTGGGAGAGGAGGCCCGTGACCATCGGACGTATTCGGTGATGAATTTCTCTGTGCGGGACGGGGGGGGGGGGGGGGGGTGTCAGGTGTTTTGCGTGGCGGGGATGCAGCAGTTGCACTTGGGAGCCCCGCCTGCCTTTTGCCAAGGCGCTGCTTAGTTTGGGGCGTTGGGGGTACGTGTTTGCGTGCACAAAGCTTGAGGGGACGGGTGAGACGTGAAATGGGAAGAGCCTCTTGTTTTCAATTCTTGCTTTGCTGGTGGCTGGGCAGCCCGGGGCTGACGGCTGGGGTGGTGTTGGGTGATGTTGGGGCTCCCGTGCTGGTGCAGCTGGAAGGAGAGTTTGCTCACACCAGGAGACTGGTACTTGTCAGCAGAGCTGGTTGTCCTTTTTCTTCAAGGAAGATACCACGAGCTAACTGTGCAGAAGAGGAACTCTCTGTCCTATGCAGAAGCAGGTCTTTAGCATCTTACATAGGACAGGAGAGAGATGATGTCCCTGGGTGCCAACGCTGCCGGTCGGGACCTAGAGTTGGCATGTCCTGAAAACAGTTAACGGTGAAACTAGCTTCCAGTGTTGGCTGTGCTCGTTTGGCTCTCGCTTTGGCAAGTAACGCTGAGAGCCGTGCTCGGAGCCCACTAGTGTTCCACTTAAAAAATATTCACAGTGAAACCTAAACTGACATGTAACACACTACAGTACAAATTTTAAACTTGCCCCAGATTTGTCCACAAAATCGTTAGGATTTGTAGGCTGCCAGCCTGCTTAGATTATTTTGCATCAAAACCATGCAGAAGTTGTAGTTTTGTATGGTTTTGACACGTGCTCTGTTTCTAGTTTGGTTTCAGCTCTCAGTGAAATGCGGGGTTATGACTCTTTCAGTCAAAATGAAAGCGATTCTGATATTCCCCCGTGTGTAAATCCAGACTGCTGAGTTTTCCGTAGCTCGGTTTGCAGTTTCCTTATGAAAAACTGATTAGAGTTCTCTGCTGTGCGTTCGGTGGAGGCCGCTGCTTTCTGATCGCGGATTTGGGGTTATAAATATGCCACATCTGGGAGCAAATGCTGTCCTGTAGGGTGGTGGCGTGTTTGATGGGAAAGGGCTGCTGGTGGGAGTGGGAAGGGAGCAGGCAGTGGCTGGAGGCATGGAAGTTGGGGAAGGGGGGTGATGAGGCAGAGGAGGGGGAAGAGTGAGTCAAACATAAGGGACCTTCTGGTGAGTGGGAGACCTGATTCGGGACAACAAGAGCAGTAACAGGTGAGGAGCGAGTGTCTGATTCGTGGTCAGGTGAGTTACATCATGGAAATGATTGAAACCTCCGGGCTGCAGGGAGAAAGGAAGAGTGAGGATGCACATGGCAGAGGATGGAGCTGAGATTGCAGGCTGGTCAGTGAAAGCAGGATGACAGAAAATAGGGAGAAGAACTGGATTCGGCACTTTTTCAAATAGGAGAGGGGAAGAGGGAGCACCTGGGAGTGGCAGAAGCAGGGAGGAGAGCTCAAAATGCTTTTGCAGTCCAGAGTGAGGAAACCTTTTTGAGAGAGCCAGCCTTGGAGGAAGGGTTTTGGGTCCCAGAGCTGGAAGGAGCAGGGTAGGAAGGTGGTTCTGTCCTTTATAAAGGTGCAAGAGAGGAAAAGTTTACCTGCTAGTTATGCAACTTCTGCTTAGCTGCAATCAGGTAACAGTGATTTCAGCTGTTTATTTTGGTTGAGTAACAACCAAACAACTCAAAGCCAGAAACCCAGGCCAGATTTGAAACAGGTCAGGTTCTGACTCGGACTGTCACTTGCAGCGGTGTTGGGGCCCCAGCTCCAATCCCAGTGTGGGGGAGATGCTGTGCAGCCTACAGCCAAAGTGTTCATGGGGTGGAAACTAATTGGTGTGTCTGAGATGGGGAGATTGCAAACAGGCAGATTCCTCAGTCAAAGGCTGCAAAATCATGACACGGCTGTTGGGGTGGGATGTTCTTGAGGGAAGGTGGGTTGCCTTTTGATCTCTTCCAAGAGCCTGGGTTTAGAAACAGCAGAAAACAATTTAAAGCCTCTGTGCCAAGATGCTCTTCCAAGCTCTTTTCTGAAGATGGAACCATTTACTCTGACAGATTTTTTTTTTTTTTTTTTTTTCCCAGACGCAGCGTTTCTGCACACGCCGAGTCTCAGACTTGCTGAGGAAACGGTTGATGCCATTGTGACAGTTTGACATTCCTCAGTTGTGGGATGTTTTTCCCCCTTCTTTCATTTCACCCTTTTAAACGTAACCCTTTCATTCCTGCTGTGCTGAGCAACCAATCCTTTGGGGGGGGACCTTCTGTTAAAGTATCAGGGAAGTTGTCACCCCCTGATGATAGTAGCTCCTGCCTATTAGTGTAGCTGAGCGAGTGGAAAGCTTGTTCTCCCTCTTGAGTGGAAAGGGAGGGGTGGAAGAGTGAAGGATCCTGTAGATGGGGTGGGGAAAAACATGATTTGGGGAGTACAGTGATGCTGAGATGAGGGGCAGAATCACTAAGCATGATCTCTGGGGGCCTATCACCTCCTTCCTGCCCCCCTGCTTCACTCTCAAGTGGCTCTTTCATTGCCTGATGCCATCTGGGGAGATGCTTTCCCTTTGGATCCTCTCCTGTGGAAGGAGGAGAGGCAGAGCAAGGCAGGTGTGAAGTGTTCTTCTCTGTGCCCTCCCTTCTCCCCCACCCCTTTGGTTATAACAGCTCTCCTCTTCTTTTTTTTTGAAGGGGGTTTCCAGAAGCATCCAGGGCCTGGGAAGTCCCTGGCAAAGCAGCTGTTGTCTGAGAGGCAGGTTAGAGATGGGAAGGTGGGAAAGGATCTGATGATTCGTGGAGGTCAGCGACCAAAACCACCTGCTGCTTGCAGGAATGGGAAGGAAGGGAAAAATGGATCCAAGCTGGAAGTGCTCAGTGAGGTTTGCTCTTTGCAGCAGGGCTGTGCCAGTGGGGTCCTCCCAGCTGAACATGGCAATAAATGAAACACCGGTCTGCGCCATTCTGTTTTTAATAGTAGCTAGCACTGTGCACTTCTGAACTCTGCCCTCAGAGACAGTTTCAGATCTGGGACCTCTTTCCTCTTTCTCCACTTCACCAAGTAAGGGTGGGGTAGACCAAGTGGTAAAACCCTTCCGAAGGAGAAGAGTGTGAAGTTACACAGAATCGAGCCCAGAACACTGAGGAAGAGAACAATTGTGTAGGTCTTACCCTGTGCTCTGCTGCTCAGACCCTTTTTTCTGTTTCTGTAGAGGCATTTTTATATGCTACTGGTGTGCCAGTTGAAGAGACTTGTGTCTCAGACTTCCAGCATTGCAGCCTGTCCCTCAGTGGCTAATTGCTATCTCTAATACAGTAATTCATGGGATAGGGAGAAATGCCTTTTTGAGATTTGAAGGTTTTCCATCCTGGTCTTATATTGTGTGTTTGTTCTTTATGGGAAGGATTGACATTTTGTCAATACAGCAAGTCTTTGAGGTCCTCTTGGAAGTGCTGTTACAGGTAAATAGCTGGTCCCAAAGCTCTTGACAACAAATGTGCTTTATTTTCTCCCTTCACCCTCCTTCTTAAATCATTGTTAAGTGCCCTTTTTGGATGATTACTGTCATCAGATTCCAGATGTAGAAGTTTAAGTAATTAGATACCACCCTTCCCAATTTCAGCTAGGCTCTGTAGAGTGCTTTGAAATAAAAACTATTATTTAAAGCCAGTTTATCTTCCTTCTCCTTTTGTCTTGTTTAATAGTATTTTCTTTCCCCAGAGCTAGAGCTACGGGAGGTTCATGCTACTTCTTCCTAATTCTGAAATCTAAAGCCTTGTCAGGGGGGTTTGGCTTCCTGTAGGTTCCCGGCTCTCCCCGGTGTCCTTCCTCCTCTCTTTCTTTCTGCCATCTCCCCTGTTTTCCCCCTTCTCCTCCCTCAGTTACATTAAAAGGCTCACAGTAGCTTTCAGCTTGCCTAGTCAGGATTACAGTACATCTTCTGACGCTTTTTCTCCCCTGAAAGGTTTTATTTCAGCTCAGTGCTTGTTAGCAAGTCTGTACAACAGCAGCAGTATGTTAGCGCTGTGTCCTCTTAGCAAGCTGCGTGCCCCCGTTTAACTCTGCACGAAAGAGCCGTGTAAGCGAGACAGAATTGCGTTTGGTCCTGAACAAAGCGCTTTCACCGTGGGAAGAGAAATTCATAGCAAGCAGCGGCAGTTTAAGGGAAACGATAGCAAGAACCGAGAAGGAAGGAATCTCCCAGTCTGCTGCTTGCCCAGAGCTGGTCTGGAGCAGAGGGATCTTCTCAGGGCAGCCTCCAGCTGCAGGCTGGACTGTCACTGGTGTGGTTTTGAACAACGTGGGTCCTGTGGGGGAGTTTTTTAGCAGTGCCACAGCCCAGCCTTTTCTATTTGCTTTCACCTTATTTCAAACAAAGAGGCTATGGGGAGATAAGCACTTAAAAAGCCCCCAAAGCAACCGCCCCAAAGTCTTTAGCTTTGCTGTGAATGGCAATAAAACAAAAAGGTGTTAAGAACAGACTACTTTGTTGTGTGTTTATTTGTGGCTGTGGAGTTGCATGATGAAAAGGGGGTGCTTGGCTTCACTGGCTCTTTGCTCAGTACTGTGGTGTTGTTGCTTCTGTGTTGCAAAACTTTGCAGGGGAATTTATCAATTGAAAACTTACTTGATTCATTTCTCTGATAA